CTTAACGTAGTACCTTTTGGCTGATTAAGATGGTTTAAGTTATTTTGTTTTGCATATATAGATGAAATAAATATTTCGCTTCCACTTGTTCGATCAAACTACGGAAGGGAATCAGGTATATTTTTTTTAGAATATAATACCCTCTGATTAAAAGATTTTTCACACAATATTTTTGACTTCAAGCTTACGAGAAGATGGGCTGGTCCCTTTAAGACCGCTTCCATATGTTTATTAGTCTTAAAACATGCGTTATCCCAATGATGTTTCATCAAGTTTTCAGACTTAATCTCATATCCATATCTCTACCATTTACTGAAATATGTCTTTTTTGGTTTTTCATCAGTGATCTCTACTAATTTTCAACAATCGAAACAAATAGCCATTTTGCAACTGTGAATATAAGGTCTGTGATAACCAATGGCAACTTCTCTCCCTTTGTAGTTATCATAGTATGTCTTGGTTACTCCTTGCCCAGATGATCTGAAAAGGCAGAATACATGATAATAGCTTTTATGGCCTTTAGTAATCAATGCTTGCAAAGCATCTTTACACGAATAGCCCATTGTTGTGGAGTTTCATACGAACTAATAATAGATAAATTATTATATTTTTTTCGACCTCAACCCGAATTGATTAGGATAAGGAAAACCATAACGGTTTCTAATATATTCAATATCATATTCAGGATGAAGATTGATAAGCACAGATTTATTATAAACCTTGTCTAAAATAATATCAATGAATTTATTAGGCCTAGGTCTATTAACAATATTTCCTGATATATTCAACGATTTTATTGATTTTATAGTGTTTTTAATGATTTTAGCTGATTTAAGCAATATTATACTCCAAATTCATTTTTATTTGATTGTTTGGGTAGTAAACAGATATTATAATTTTTGATTTGGCTAAATTATGCACAGCGTCTTCGGCTAAAATTTGTATCATATATGATCTCCCTAGTTTCCTGCCCAGTTACTCGATAGCTCTAGGAATGTTCCAGGAGCTGGCGAGTTTCGATAAATCACGAGATGATCGGCCGATCAGATTTCGGAATGTTTTTCTTTGCCTAACAGAATTCGGAAAAATGACATTTTCTGATTTTCTGAGCGAATAGTAAAGAAAAAAGGGGGTAATTTTATATTCATACGCATGTAGATTAGTTTGTGGATCCCTCATGATTGCATGTATCATTTTATTTATTTGATAAGCGTTTATACAAATACACATGAATAAAAAAAGGAGAAAGGCCCGAGGCAAGCTTTATTTTATTTTTATTGATAAACATAAAGTAATACACAATTCATCGGTGGGCAAAAATAGCCTGAATAATCAAGATTTTTCGAACTATGACTTGTATGCTTCATCTATTAACAATCAATAAGTTATTTGAATTTGACAATTCTTTTGAACGCTGGTGTCCCAAGTGTTGATCGACGCCATCCTTTAAAATTATCATTTTCGAATTCTTCACTCTTATTAATAATTGAAAGGATATCCTTTATTGTTCTTTCATATGCTAGCTAGAGGAACAGTTTTGAATTAGTCATTAGTATTGATATTCTTTAGTAATTAGAAGTTATACCTGAAATGTAAACAGCGTGTTCAGCCCACTTAAAAACAAATCGCATGTTTCGAAAGATCTTGGAAGATCCACACTACCACCAGTATCTATCATGACATAAATTCCAGGACTAATTAAAGTCATCATATAACCGGTCCATTTTGTCACTATTTATTACATGAAGAATCATTAATTAGGTAGGATAAGATCAGTAAAACAAGTGTCCAGCTTACCAATAACTTGCCAAGCGAAAATCCGATTAACACCGGTCTTAGGCAAAATATTATCCAATGCATCTTTCATGAATAATCCCAACCTAATTAGATCGATTAGGTTCTTTTTTTCTGTATTATTCTTACCCTCACCCGTCACTTCCCCAAACATCGTTTCAAAAATAAATTTTCCTGTTTATGTTAGAGAAGTAATTAGAACAGATTTATTTGTATATTTTATGCTGTATTCTCTATAAGTACCATTATTGACAATTTTCCCGATCATATCGGGTTGTTTAGCCCGGGAAGGATCACCGATGGCAAGTTTTCGGATCTTTGCGCTGGTGCTGGATGTGTTCGGCCAAATCGTAGGATATATGTGTGAATCATGAAAAAAAATTCGTAACACTGGACTTATTATATTTGCCACAAGTGTCCCTTCACTCATAATTTCTTTCAATGAATGTAATGGAATAGTATAAGACCTGAAAGTAGTAAGAAAAAAATCTTATTAACAGTCATTTCAAAAAATTGTTTGACTAAGAGATATCAAAACTTACAGATGTTCAAAGAAAGACCTCATTCGTCGAAAAAATTCTTCCTCTGTTGTTGAATTAAATGTTTTCGAAAAAGACTCAGTAATGGTTTCGCGAAGTTCGTGTAATCCACCATCATTAGCAACCTAAGCAAGATAGTCAGCAAAGGGAACATTGCAAAAGAATGATAATAATAGAAAAATACGAACCTCAATATACTCTCGTAGGATTGATTTTACACCCCTTGTTACTTTTTCTTTTCCGATGAACTTTGATTTAATATCCTCTCTAAGATCTTCGAGCGTTTCCCTAGAGAACGTTTTCACTTGTGTTTCTGAATAGTTATCCATCTGCAATAACAGAATATGCGATAGACTCCTAAATTTTTTAAAAAAGTAAACACCCTTAATCAATAAAAAGACTAAAAAGGTATCCACTTAAAAGTCCTACTTACAATATTTCGTGATAATTTTTCGTTATTAGCAAGCCCGAATTTTGCGCACGAGCTAACGCTTTTGACCGATATGATTCAAATAACGAAGAAATGTTCTTTGTTTTAAAAACGAACTATAAAACGGTTTTTGATTTAGCGAAATCATACTTGCAGTTTATTTTGATAAAAAAGTACTTACAGGTTTATCCCCCTTGATCGATGTATTCTTCGAACCCAATTTCTTCCACGTCTAGCCTCAATTCGTCTTCCTCATCACTTTCTTCGGATTCTTCGGACTCGTCATCCACACTCTTGTACTTTGTAAAATTAATACCAATCGGCTGAGCCGAAAATGAAAAAGAAAAAAATACATAAACAGAATGATATCATTAATGTCACCGACCATATCATCACTAGTTCCGGCAGATGAAGTGCAAGACTTATCATCAGTCTTAGCCCGTCTCTTTGGTTTCGGTTCGTCCTCCGGATTATTCACCATTGGACTGTTTGGACAAGGCGTAGTGTACCCATCTCGATCTTCTTTGTAATCAACATCTCGTCTTTTTCTTGATAATGATTGGTTGCTTTCGATAATGTTTTCATCGTCATTTATGTACTGTTTTGGATTTTGTGAATATTCTGCGATCATTTGAGATCCATGAAATTCAGAGGAAGCTGTAACAAGATTAATGCCTTTCTCGTCCGCAATAATCTTGGCCTTCGACTAATTATAAACAAGTTCCATTAAGCCTATTGAAAAATTATGAGCATAAAATCATTTCAAACCTACTTTCAAAATTGTGATATTTTGTTGTCGTAAGATCTATTGCAATGTTTAGAATCATAATTGGTGTCAATAATGGAAGACAGTGGGATTAACAAGGCTAGCATCACTTACATCCAGTCGAGCAGAAATTACATCATTAAAAATATTTTGCACATTCGAATTTTGACCCTTAATGAGTTTAAATCCATAATTAGTAAACAAATATTCATCCATACGAAATTTATGATAAAACCATAATAAAAAGAAATGTCGCACATAGGGGGGACAGTAAGTACTGATCCTCCTGACTCAGGTAATACCTGGCAAGATTTTTTAAAAACCCCCTAGCACTTGGCGAGTAAATTACTCATACTCCATGTCTCAGGTATTACCTGGCAGGAGGTGCCTTTTTACCAAATTTGAAACATATTTACCTTAGAAATTTTATACTCAAAGCCCTTTGCTTTTGCTTCAAGCATGAAGCGTTTCAGCCAGGTGCCAGAAAGACCCTTAATATCGTTGGTATCCGGTGGAAAATTAACGATCGCTTCAAAATTTGAGGAAAGGAAGTCAGGAAAAGACCAGTAAGAAGATTCCTTGCTATTGAGGTAGGTGACGATTTCTACAAGAATTTTAATAACTGGTAGTTCTCCTGTGTTATTTAATAATTTGTAATTACCTGTTTTGCCAGGATAATCGTTAGACATTGTATTTGAATGAGATCTCAAGGTTAGTAATGGAGTATACATATATTATATATAGGAAAATGATTGTCGCACAGATTTAAATCAGTTACGCGACTGGTAATCATGATGTTACAAGGTACAAGAACTCACCGGTCACGTGATTGTTGATATTATTTGTTTATCTTTAAAACCTGTTATCTCGGCCATTTTGGGCATCCTTAACCTACACCGGAGGTGTAGATGTTTAACCTGCGCTGGGGGTGTACAATAAGTTTTAACGAATTTTA